ATATTTTACGTAGATAGATTCTCCCTTACTAAAACTACTTTTGTAAATACATACATACATACATACATACACATACATACACATACATACACACACACACACCGAAAGCCTTATCCTCAAAAAAGGGCAATCATGTAAATTTGTCCCTTCCGTTTCAATCCTCTCCCCTCTATTTTTCTCATTTTCTTAAACTTGTAGAAAATGTCGGATCGATAGTCACAAATATATTACATCGAAGGCAACAGTGATCTAACTATTATAATAAATACACGGTATAGAAATATACGGTTAATAGTTAATAATTATATATATATGTTTAATAGTTTGGCCCCTATATATATACATATATATATGTGGGTATGTTCGAGTATACGTATTGAATTTTTATATGTTGAGAATTTTGTTAAATAATAAATTTGTAAATTTTCCTTTATCATTTCACACCGGGAAGACAAAATGTTTTTCTTTAAGAAATGAATTATTGTTCTTCTCCTTACGTAATAACATAATAATTTTGTTTATGTTTTTCGCGTATAAATAATAAATACTTTTCTTTTTTTTACACCTGAACGTATTTCGATGTTTCGTCGTGTTATTATTATTATTGTTATTATTATTATTATTAGATTTGATTTACCTTTTTTTAAAAGGAATCCTCGGCTTCGTCCGTGTCGATCAACGGTAATCTTTCGTATTTCAAGAAATTGCTCATACCGAGCGGTTTAAACTGCTAAAGTGCCATACTTCTGATCTCATTTTCATTGGTATGATCTAAAGGAGTAGTAGTAGTAGGTGTAGTACCTTCAACCAACCCTTCGTCCTCGCCCTCGTCCTCATTTTTCTCCGTGCAATATCTACATCGCATCTTAGCGTCGTCACCGACTTGCACTGAACGTGTTATCACGATCAAGGTTGTCAAGCTGATAACGAACAGTCCTGATGGTACTATGATAGCTATGAGTAATTCCGTTTTAGTTTTATTCAAATCGAAACGTGCCACGACGAAGAACGAGTCGTTCTGTAAATAAACAAAAAATGTAGACAACCTCTTTCCAAATTTCTTTCGCGTATTTTTGTTTTGTTTTTTTTTTTAAATTGAAATATCCGATAATAAAAATTCATTATACTTTTCTTTTTTTTCTTTTTCTTGTTCCAATCTTGCAATAAAATATAATTTTTAATTTTATCTTTTGGTCAATTTAATGGAAATATTATAAATTCACGCTGCGCTATTAGTTAATTAAGTTAATATTACGCGTCAAATTTAAAATTACAATACGTTATCTTTTCCTTTTTATCTGTCCATTATTATTACTATTATTACTATTATTATTATTACTATTATTATTATTATTATTATTATTATTGCGATTATTTGTGAGAAAAAAATAATTTGAGATGAAATTGAATAAAAAAAACTAAAAAACCTGGAGGCTAAAAATGTGATAACCCGTATATTATATTTCAAAGAAAAGAGATGAGAATTTTATATATCGATTAAGTATATTAAAACGCGTGCTGCGTAGAGAGACCTATGAAAAAAAACTTGTGTGCACCCCGGTTCTCAGGAAAAGTAGATTAACATTTTTTATTCATCTCAACCACAATCGTTCTACATTCATTCGCGTAATGCTTGGATGGACATTCGATTGCATTTATGCCCTTTTGTATTCTACTTTCGCGATCACTAAACCTTCAAGTAAAAAAGGGCATTTATCCTTATTGAACCGATGAATATTTATATATTTAAAAAAATAATATCTTAACAGAATTTATTACCATAAATTTATATGTATGATTTATCTATTAATTTAATATATCTCATTATCATTTTATTTATATTTTCAAAATAAAAACATTTAATTTTATTTCTCTTTTACAATTATTCAGAATAATTAACTCGATATATTTCTTTCAATGTTTTTAAATATTCATTTTAATAAAGTCAAAGATAAACGTAATAAAAAAATGCAATAAAAAATCGATGAAAAGATGACGTGTTCATTTTATTTTTTTAAATATTTTCTTTTTTCCCTGCTACATTATCGTAAGAATGATTTTTATTTCAATTTCGAAACAGTATATATATATATATACATATATTTTTACTACAAATACGCTAGTGTTTCGTTCTTTCGGTAATTGAATATCACAAGCATAAAAAAATAATGAAAAAATAATTCGCGAAAGAGATTCCAACTTTCTTTCTTTCTTTCTTGCTTTCTTTTATTCTTGGAAATAGATGGAAGATAATATTAAAGTATAACAAGAACAATATCCAAGGGAAAAAAGGGGAAGAATTTTTTACCGTGCAAACTCACCTTATTGTAGTAACAGGGATATCTACTTTGAGCCGTTTGATTGTCGCCATCTCGTCCGTGGCTCTTGAGAAAATCACGACATTCACCCTTAAGAGTGTTTACGCAACCCTCTAGGTTTATATACAAACGCGAATTATTGTAGATTGTCAGAGATCGTTGGGCCGGCATATAAAAATTTTCTGAATCCACGGGATATTGAAGACTTTGCTCATAAATATTAAGAAACGTTGTAAAATTGACATAGTGATGAGGAATCGTGACTTTATTCAATGATGTGCCGTTCACGCAATCTTCCGTTCTAAAACATTATAATAGTAACTAAAAATTTCATACAATTTTTATATAAACGAGATTGTAAATTAAGAGTCAAATTAATTGTAATAACTCATAAATTGTCAAATAAAAAGAATATCTTTTATATCTTAAACATTTGCGCGCGCGCGGGGGGGGGAGGGGGCAACACGGAGAAATTAGATATCCTTAACCGGATACAAAACAATTGATTTTCCTACAATATGTTATACGTAAGAAGATTATACGTATTCAATATGTAATTTTGTTTCAATATTGGAAACCAATAATATCATATTCTTCGCGATACTTTTTGAAATAGTATATATTATTATCATAGATGGTGTATAAACGAAGCGGATAAATAATACGTTTGGATGAATAATAATTAAGAAGAAAAATAAATTGCATAGAATATTTGTAGAAAATTGTTAAGAGCAACAACAAAAATATAGATTTATAACGAACAAATCACGGTATGGTATGTCGGTAATGACAACTATAACAATTTTATTCGTACTTCCTGCATAGAAAAATAATGGAAATTAATAAAGAATCAGTGGAGAATGATAGGAATCAATGGTTGCTATGGAAATACCCTTAATACTATCTTTTTATCTGTTTAAAAAGAAAAAGGATCTATAATTCACTAGAAATTTTTTTGTTTTTTCCTCCTTTGTTTTTTAACGATAACATCTAACGAAATGCAATTAAAAGAAAAAAATGTTCAACGAAAATATATTTTAAGTTTTTTTTTTTTAATAATTATCTCCTAACGATCTATTAACGTAATCCTCTTAGTTGGTAGAGTTATTTTGCATCATTTATTTACTATGGTAATGACATTATTCGTCGATGATATCAAGTAACAACAATTTGTCTTAGGAAAAATGTTTTTTTTATCTATCTATCTATCTATCTCTCTCTCTCTCTCTCTCTCTCTCTTATTTTTTCTGTCATTAGTTATTAAAAAAAAACTACACGTCGAATACACACGTACACGTGTAAATTCATTTCACGCAATGATGCATCTTTTCTTTTCACGTTAGAATAACGTGTAAAAATCGATAATTCGAATCATCCCCGGAAGGTTATTTTTTCTTTCCATAGTTGAGACGATAAAAGTTGATATAGAAAAATGTTCTCCATAATAAATGTTTTAGAGTTATTATTTTTTTTTTTTTTTAGATCATACTTATTCGTACCTAATGACGTTTCCTTTTCTGTTTACTGTCAAACAACTGGCAATTATGCTACCATCATCCTCGTCCCAAATTTTGACAGGTTCTGTAAGCCTCATACCAGGTAAATTTCCATTAGCTTTGTTCATTGCCAATCCTTGAGAACATTTAGCAGTTATAACGTTGTCATCTTGCATTAGATAAATGTTGATATCCTTTGTAACGATTTTCGGACAATATCTATCACACGAGAATGGTTTTCTTATTTTGGTACATTTGGAATTTTGACAACTGAAAAAACCATTCAATTTCATATTGTCCTTTTCACTGTCGACAAATATACCATCAGCTTTGTAATGACAAAGCATCAGTTCGCTCATGTTAGAACAATGTCCTAAACTGCAATTAAATACACCGGATAGTGTACTGCACTCGCTGCCATTGTTGCAATTGTATTTCTTTAAATTCCCCAAGTTAACCTGGAACAGAAATGAACTAATTAAAGAAAAAAAAAGTAGGTTAGATTAAATTTTATCTTTTCTTTTCTTAATAATACTTTGATCGAATAGTTCTGATCGTTTGACCATAGAAATTAAAAAAATAAAACAAAAGAAAGAAAATAAGAAAGAAAAAAAGAAAGAAAATAATTAAGATCATTTATTTTTGGCAAATGACATGAAACCCACCCACCCTTTGCATTTATTTCTTATCGTGCAATATAAGCTGTTACATTAATTACAAGATTAATTCACAACGACAAAATACTCTTTTCTTTTTCTAATTTCATTCTCTTCTTTTTTTTACACGTTCGTTTTATTCTTTTATCGAATTTCTTGTTTAAAGAATTTTTATTCTTATGCATTTTATTAAATGATAAATCATATTATAAATCAATGAATAAAAGGAATATCGAATAAATGACGTATTTTTAAAGGAACTAGAACATTCTCTAATTAACCTTCGAACTGTTATAAAGGTTTTCTCAAAGTAAATTAAATCACTTCGATTTACTAACCCATTTTTTAACATAAAACTGAAATAGATGAGATTAGTATTATATAATATAATTTGTTCTCTTTGCTAAAAACTCGTATTTTTTTTTAGAACATTGTTTAAAAAAGAAAAGAGACATCAAAAATATCTAAATAAATAAAGGAAACAAGATAGAGATTTTACTCGGTGTTATTTTATATAACTTTTTTTCTCTTTTATTTAAAAATACGTCAAAGGAAAGCATAATGATGCGAAAAAAAAAATTAAGAAAACACAAAAAAATATATGATCAAACTAAAAAGAAAAAAGAAATGAGAGAGAACGTCATAGTTGTAATAAAAAAATATTCTTTATCTAACATTTTCGTCACGTAGTTCGATAAAACGTGAAAAAATTCTTATAAATCTTAAAATGGGAGTATCTTATTGCATAAATATTTATCGATGAAAATAAAACTCAAAAGGGTTTTCTTTACCACTTTCTTTTTCAATAGATTATTTCTTTCATCCCTTATTTTTCCGTTAGTTTAAAAATTTCATCGCGTATTTTAATCAATAAGCATCCGAAGGAATAAGTCAGGCAGTAAAATCGGATTAGAAGAAAGAAAAAAATAATAATTCCACCCCCATGAGAACGAATATATTCTTTCATCGAATATGTTTTTAATTCCAGAGAACTTATATATTTTCCATAAAAAAAAAAAAAAAGGAAAGAACATCGGAAGATCCCGAAGGGTTGGAAAAGAAGTATCTTTTTTTTTCTTTTCAAAAGTTTTATCCGTAACCGTTGACTTCAATTACTTCGTTTTCCATTTACCATAATATTTGTCTTATCCCCATGGTTATTTTGTTACCACTCGTAAAGAAATGAGATCCACTTTGGATGTATCATTTTATTTCTATTAAAGTTAGTATTCTATCATCTTCTTGAATTACTAATAAAACATTTTCAAGATATTGTTATAATCCATGGACAAAAAATGGATGAATGGAGATGAACTGTTTTTCATTCTATTTTCTTATTTTTTTTTTTTTTTCGTTTCATTTACTTTCCCCTTTTATTTCCTCTTTTTTTTTTTTTAATTTTTTTTTTCCGGTCACTTACTTTAGGACAAGAGATACTGTTGAACTTGGTGCAATTTTCAAAGATCACATCCGTCCCATTTTGTCTGACAGTTGCGTGTATTTGCGGACAAAAGCCGGTTGTTTTCGTCAAGCACCATTCACCGCAACTCGCCCATATGCAGTTATTTACCAAAGTGGCATTAACCGTTTGGCACATTACCGGATCTGGATCTATACCGGCGTGAAAAGCTCTGTAAATAATTAAAACCGAAGTTTCATCAAAATTAACTGATTATTCTTCGTTGTTTATTCGATTCTTTTGTCTTTTTTTTGCGGGTTATTACGTTAAACATAAGTCATCAAATAAATCCTTTAATTAGATTGAAATTTATATTCTCATTTCATATTTTGTAAAAAATATTTATCATATTTATTTATTAAATAACGCGCTGTTTGTCATCGTGTAAATACAGTAAACTACAAATTACTAGGAATTCGTGGTAGTTATTAATCGAATATACATGTATATACTTATATGTTAGAAAATATGATTAGATGATAAATATTTACCTATGCGACGGCATATAAATTGCTACGCTGAGGTAAACCAAAGCCACGCAACTGATGACAATGGTAAATTGGCAAAAACATATGCTACCGCATATTCTACGATCCTGTTCCGGTATTAAACGACGCTTATGTTTTCGTCCCATCGTGATTCGACAAATTGAAAATCTTTTCGGGGGAGATTTATCTTTTCCAAAAAATAAAAAAAATAAAAAACAAATCACAAGTAGGTGGAAAAAAAAAAAATAATAATAATAAAGAGTGTATTAGGATAAATTGTTCGAAAGATAATTTCTCTCTGACTTAAGGAAATTATGAAAAGTGAATTAAAATGAATTAAAATGAATTAATGCGAATACGTAATATGTGAGAAACTATATATAACTTTTTTCTCTGACATTGATCGATAGGTATTTTGTTACAAGAGTAAAAGTTTACGAAAAGGGTCGGAGACCTTTTAACATTTATTATATATGTATATATATATCTTTCTTTTTCCTTCTTCGTAGTAATTTGTTTTCTTCCTCCCCTTTTATTTTATCTTACTCATCCACTATAAATTTCCACATTTATACGTTGTATTCCTATAAACCAGGACATAGTTATATGTCTTTCGGTAATTTTCTTGGAAATTCGAGTGATCTGAATCATCGTTAAAAAGGGAAAACTAAACCCAATTCTAGGAGCCGATTAAAATCAAGAATCCTAAGAAAAATTCTTGAAAGTTTCGATCTTTTTACAATACTTCTTTTTCTATTATTGATTTTATCTTATTTTTTGTCGTCTTTTTCTTGTCCACTTTGCTATCACCGTATCATAGCGATGATGCTCTTAAGGCAATTACCACGTGTTAACTTCATTAAATACGTCGTCGGAGTAAACAGATGCACTCCACCGGATGACGTACAATTAAGTACTAGTAATCCCATTACCGTGTAAGAGTAATAGTGAGTTAAATTGAGATAGATAGTTAGATAGTTAGATAGATAAATGTATATATATATGTATATGTATAGCAAGAGAGAAAGTAGAGATAAAATTGTAAGATTATTCGAGGATAACCTTTTATCGATCGAAAGGGAAACTCACAATGTTTGTCCAGTCTACTTCTGTATATATATATATATATATATATATATATAGAAATGGTGAAATACTTTTTCTTCGTACGATTAAACTACTACTACGATGTTTGAATTAGTTGCTTAGATAGAAATTGTCAAAATGTCGGAATAATTTTCCTTTGTTCATATAATGATTATCGATAATTAATATTCATGTGAATGAATATCGTATTAGCAAATGATACTCATAAGCTTATCCTTCGTTGTGTACAGTTCCTACGTTTGTAGATAACCTTGGATCGAGCTATCAACCTGTCGGATACACTAAGACATTCCTCCTCCTCCTCCTCCTCCTCCTCCTCGATGTAACCTAGCTTACTCCAATAATTCCCTTTACGCAATAAAAGTTCACGAGCTTCGTGGAGACTATTCATTTCATTTCATTTCATTGCATTTCATTTCATTTCATTTTATTTTTATTTTATTTCTTATTTTTTTTTATATATATCAAGTTATTTCGGTTGTTTTCTTTTCGTTGTTTATTATAGAATATATATATATATATATATATATAGTTATTTAAAAAGAAAATTAATTATTCACGTTCATTCAGAACAACGTAAATTAAATGAAAATTATATTAAAAATTGAATTTTTTTCTTAGGTCAAAGGATACGTGGTCTTATCATAGTTTTTTGTCGAAAACCTTTGACGATTGACGATTGACGATGAATCTCATAATTATTTTTTCTTTTTTTTTCGTTTTTTTTTTCGTTTTTTTCTTCTTATATTCTTTCCGTATTCTTTATATTAAATCTTCCTAATTCACAAATTATTTCACAAGTTCTAATTGAATGGATTAAGGGGACAAATAAAAAAATAGAGAAACACAACACACACACACATGCGTATCATCGTCGATAATACGATCGAAACGAATGATAATCGATCTTACTCGCGTCACTTTGGAAATGTCAACGTTGCCGTCATAGTTCTCGGGAAAATTCTGAGATCGTGTGTGATCTATGACCGTTTATATTCTATAGGATAAACTTAGCTTCTTGACTAGTTAAAAATACACGAAGTACGCGTGACCATCGGCATAATATTTTATTTTATCTTAATTTAATTTAATTTATTTTTATTTTCTTTTATTTAAGAGAAGCAGGATTTAAGGGAACATTTTATTCCCGGTACTCGCGTTTGTTATTATTATTTTTATTATTAATTTATTTCGTTTAAACAAATTTATATCAATAGATTATTACACTTAGGTTAATTTTCAATATAGCACAATCTCTTCTTCTTCTTCTTCTTCTTCTTCTTTGTTTTTAAAATGATTTATATTTAAAGTAATTTTTTGCTTTTCTTTTTTCTGTCCTTTCTTTCTTTCTTTTTGTGATTTTTGTTCTCGTTTCATTCCCATCCATCATTCGCGATCGAAAATTTCGCGCTATCGATGATACTTATATCCAACGACCAATGATCATCCATCGAAAGAGAAAGAGAGAAAGAGAAAACCGAAATAAAAAATAAAATAATTGCGTCGATTACGAAAAAAAAAAGGGCTCGCAAACGTTCACGAGGCAACCGTTGAACCTCGACGACTGTTTGAAAACAAGGTCTGCAAGCCGAACTATACCTCGCATAAGCTCTTCTATTTCTGAGCTTGCGCCGTGGCAATATTCTTTATGGTGGTAACTCCCCAGCAACGTGGTGAATGCTTCCCATAATACGGATTAAAATTCAAAACCTCTTGCTAGTGGAAAATGAAAGTTACAAAGAGAATAGATAAAGCGGAAATTATACTTTTAAGTATACCTTTCAAATTTAATAATGATTTTTGTTTTTATTTTTGTAAGACAAATTCTCAAATCCCCTTTTTATATCGTGTCATTTTTATTTTTTAAATACGAAAAATAATAAAGTTAAATTTTCTTTTTGCATATTTTCACAGTGGTTATTTCAAATTTTTATTATTAGATAAAAGAAAGTTTCGAAATTAAAAAAGATATATATTATACTTTTTTTGTTTCGTATTATGTAATTTATTTAAATGTATCCAACTTAAAGTCATCAACAAAAAATCTGATAGCTTATAAAAATAATATTCTAAATGTCAAGATAATAACCGTAGGAAATATAAAGTAGGGTATATTATAATCTTTTATAAAACCTTAAAACTTAATATAACACTGAAATTAAATAATTATTAAATTCGATTTAAAAAATAATCTTCTTATATTTTTGTTATTGGATAATTCAAGTCAACTGGTGAATACTTTTTAACGTGGCCAATATTATGTCCAACAGGTCGTTTCGCACAAAGATATTTTATACAGGTGGTTATATATATATATACATACATACATACACATGTGAATAGGAAATTAGATAAGAATAAAAGGTGCAGGTGTAAAATAAGATAATCATCCTCATATATAATAATGTTTTCATTTAAACAAAACTTTATTTCCTATTTATTTTTATTAAACGGAAAATTAATACAATGTTTTTTATTATTTACAATAGTCATTTATTATCATTGCAGGGCATCATATATTTATTGTTTATACACATTATGTTATTTACAATATAATATATTCAGATTCAAATCGTTCGATTGGACGAGAAAAAAAGAAAAGAAAAAAAATATTCTTTTTCGTTAAAATTGTTAAAAAATTATGGAGTAACTTTAAAAAAAAATTAAAACTAAAAACAAAAAAAAACGGGGGAAGCGTAGATTAGATCAATAGTATTAGTAATCATTTGTATTTCATTTTTTTATTTTTTATTGAAGTTATTTACAGAGAGGAGGATGGAGGAAACTTGGGGGGGAGGTGGAGGTGGAGGTTGAGAGTGAAGGGAAGGAGAGGAAGGAAACAGCGCGACGGAAGGAGTTTTCTAAGAATTTCAATTGGAATGTTTAAATTTTCGTATAATAGTTACATACGCGCGATCGTTATTATTATTAATAATAATATTATTAAATAAGAAGAAAAGATAAGGAATAGAAGTATACATATATATAAGTAGAGAGATAGATAATTTGGATAGATAGATTTAGAGAAGTATGTATGATCAAAAAGTTGAAATAGAGAAAAAAGTATAGCTATTTATCAGTTATTATATTAACTATTCGCAGAAATAAATTCTCTCATTTCTCATTTCTCATGCATCTTGTTGTTCTCTTTAAAACTTTTTACTAATGTCATTTATGTTAAATTGTTTTGCCTTATATACTCGGGGTATTCTAAAAATTATTATCAATTGTAATTCGTCTTGTAATAGTCTGTCCTATTTTCTGTCTTTTTCCTTTTCTTTTTTCTTTTTTTGTCAATTACACAAAACTTACTACTCGAAATAATAATTAAAAAAAAGTATGTAAGTAAATTTTTTATGGGACCTATCGATTTTTGATGAATCGAAGAAATTGGCACTAAAATATTACGATTTATATATTCGTATTTTTCTATTTTTTTTTTTTTTTACAGCAACATCGATATGATTTAATTACGGAGAAGATATTTTGCCTTTTTCTTTTTATTTTTTCGAATCTTGATACTTTTTTTTATTCGTCGTTAAAAATGCTTTTCATCATCGATAACTTTACAGTTTGAATTTAAATTTTTAATCGAGAATAAAAAAACTGTATGCTGCTGCGAAAAAGGCTCGTACAATTTAAAGAAAAAAAAAAACATTGATGTATATAATATATCCTTTTATCGTTAATCAAACCCCTTTTCTTTTTTATCCCTTTCAATATTTTAATACGCAACAAGAGAAATCGATTAGAGCAAGCTTCGAGATGGGGAATGAGTGCCATAACTCTTTCCTACTACTATTTCTTCTAACTATTCAACAATATTGAAAGAAAAATAATTCCTTTCTCTTTTGTTTATATTAATACCACGGAGTTAGGCAGAATTAAAAAAAATTCACAATCATCCTAGATGTGTAATGAAGGGGTTTTTGCGAAATGCTTTTCATAAACTTCGAAACATTATATAATATAGGATTATTATTTGATTAAATTAATTCTATAACCCCCTGAACGAATAATTAATTCATTGATAAGTTTTCCAAATTTATAAATATTTCGTTTTTTTCTTTTTTCTTTTTTCTTTTTTAAACATAACGACTACGATTTACGAGATTCCTTTTCATTTTCCCATTTTCTTTTTTCTTTTTACGACGAATAATTACAATTTTTTGTTATAGAATAATGTTTAAGACTCGTGAAGAAAGCACGTGTTTCATAGCTTAAAGAAATGCAAATCGCTTGACCACCTAGACAAAACTTATTTTCTTTGTAAATTAACAAATTCGTATTTGATGATTGTACATACAAACAAAAATCACACACATACTATTCGTTCATTTCACAGATGTACAGAGACGCATACACAGAGAGACACACGTGCGCTTATATGTAATCTTTTATTTTATTTTAATTTTTTTTTTGTCTCCCCCCCCCCCTCAAATAATCACCCTTAAACGATTATGCACTGCATGAGAGGGTGCGCGCCCGCCCGCGTATAAAATTTGTAACAATACTTACGATCGATCATTTATTTAGTTTTTTTCTTTTTTTTTTCTTTTTACCTACTAATTTTTAATAAGGTAATATTCACAGACTTCGCTTAACGAGTTAGACTTAGTCTAAATAAGATTTTTTCTTATTATTATTTTTCATTTTTCCATCTTTCTTTCTTTTTATTTATTTATTTATTTTTTTTTTTTTT